AATTGGCACATCAAATTCCATCTGATCATAGACTTCGTATGGCTGAGTCTTACGAACATCCTGTTTGATTCCTGATGCTCGCACCATCACGCCACTGAAGCCCCAATTCAATGCATCCGCAGCAGAAACAATACCTAAACATTAGGGATACAAAAATGATTTGAGAAAGAATGATAAACTTACCGATATCGATAGTTCTTGCTTTCCAGATTCTATTTTCGGTGAGCATATCTTCCAATTCATCGATTCTCTCAGGAAACTATAGAAAAAAATCTTTTCCAAAGAAATTAGCCTTGTAACAAGATAGTAAGCATTCTAGCAATAAACGAACAACTCTCTTGAAATAAACATACTTTTATTGCCCAGTCGTATATGTCATCCATCAGCCCAAGTGGAAGATCCCATGCTACACCTCCTGGACGGAAGTAGTTCACATGCATTCGTGCACCCGAGACTCTTTCAGAAAACTCGAACAACTTCTCTCTTTCTGAATAAGCGCTTTTCATTTAAAGCTAAATAGCAGCAATCAAAATATTTTTTCTCGGAATCCTCCACCTTCGAACATCCAGAAAAACGGCGTCATCGCACCAACATCAAGAGCATGCGTAGTGATCCCCATGATATGATTTTGAAGTCTGGTGAGTTCAGCGAACATCGCTACACAAAAAGGCATGAACGGATTTTCTTTTGCAACAAGTCCACCACTCACTTCGAATGTACTTTGCACGAGGTGGAATATCAATACCCAACAACTTCTCAACGGCAAGCGCGAAGCCTTGTTCATTGCACATCATCGAGACGTAGTCGAGCCGATCAAAATATGGAAGGGCCTAGGTTACGCTTTCAGGCTTTTTAAAAACAAAAGTACAAGCGCAAAATCCCAACTTTGTTTTCAGAAAAAGGATCAAACTTTCAATGTTATGCACGTGTGATTGAATGAATGCAATAGGCACTCGTCAGAAACAAAGTGAGTTATTCCGTCACAACAGCTGGTTCAAAGAAATAAAGAATCCCTGCAACTGATAATACCTGAGTATATGTTTTATATTCGATCAATTTCTCCGTTCCTCGATGTAGCAGACCAATGTGAGGAATTGCTTTAATAACGACCTAAAACAGGAGTAAACTTTTAGACATCGTCAAGTAACAAGCTATTAGATTTGCAAAGACAATATCAACTGTTTAAAATTTTAAAAAGTATAGAAGAAGAAAGGAGAAAAGAAGTTACTTCTCCTTCCAATTTC